TCAGGCTTTTGCCGGGGGCCCTAAATATAGTCGGGCCTGAAATATAGCTAAACAGGGTTTCCGGGACCTCTCTACGGGTGATCCTCATCTGCATGATGGCACTTCGTGTCACTGGGTGTTTATCGCTTGTGTGATGTCCTGGTGGGGTACAACTTATATACGTACATACTGCATAGATGTTTCTGTATATATCTGTCTGTGTATCTATCTTCTGGCTGTCTATCTGTCTAACAGCCTGTGTGTCTGTCCGTCTTTATGAATGTCTATCACCGTATTTATCTCTTTGTGTAAGATGTACTGTTGCACACCAACTCACATCAAAAGACATGACAGTTTACTGAACACCACGAATCGGGAGACTCTAGTTATTATTTAATTATTAGCAGGTCGGAAAGAGCTAAGCACGAATTGAAAAAAAAAAAGCCAGTTTACTTGATCTGACTATGAGCAAGGGTGACAACATAATACTATTTTTTTTTAAGCATCAACAACTTGTAACCTAGGAATGGTTTTCAAGAGCGCCGGCAGATAGTAAATACAAACGATATATAATTTGCAATCTTTCTTTCAACTTCGGGTTATCATTGGCAGCACAGACATTCATTAAAAAACACGAACGTAGACTAGCCACCTATAAAATTAAATAAAAACCAAATGCCTCATGGAGTCGAATGAGCTGGCAGAAAGGTGATAGTATCACAGCTACGCAGCAAACAAGCACAGTGCAATTACGTCCTGCAGACGAAGCAGCAACAGCAGATAATGATGATGATGATGATGAAGAAGAAGAAGAAGAAGAAGAAGAAGAAGAAGAAGAAGAAGAAGAAGAAAAAGAAGAAGAAGAAGAAGAAGAAGAAGAAGAAGCCGTTTAAGAAAGGCTGCGAACAAAACTACAATATAGCGTGAGTGAGATAAATAAATTATGAAAACTGTTGGAACAATGTCCGTTCAAATACATGTAGAAAGAAAGATTGAAATGGTTCGGCCACCCAATGAAAATGAATCCAAATATGTGAGAAGCCACAGCTTGCAAAGTAAACATAGAGACACCAAGAAGCAGGGAGCGAAACAGAAGTAGATTTGATAAGGTCACTGACTGCCCGAGACTTCGGAATTTCACAGCATACTAAGGAGCCGAGCACGCCCTAACACGGCTACCCATCATGTTTAATTGGGAGACCTAGCGGCACAAAGCAGATGTAGCACCAGCGAGGATCCTGAAGTACGCCGGTAGGCTACTCTTTTCGAGTTCCAACTGTCAAGGGATTTTTTACGTGCAACACAATGCCAGTTTTGCGTCCTATCTCACTACCCAGAGACAAGGGGGAATTACTAAAGTCCAAGTCCACTTGAAAAATCCCAGCCCATACAGGGTATTGAACCAGGATCCTCTAGCACTCGAAGCGGTCACCATGCCTCTAGATTACGCAGCCCCTTGAAGAAGGTTAGAAGGGCGTCAGCCTGTACGAATATAAACCTTCACAGCTGACAAGCACCGCTTATATTGAACAATAAAATACGATACAAAACAAACGTGTGCTGTCTTACAAACAACTCATATACTGTTTATAACATTGTTACCTCAGACTCATTCGAAAACATAGGAGAGATCACACCCACATAAGTACTCGTAGCTACTGAATCACCACACTCCAAAACACCGTACGGAAACTCATGGGGAAAACGGTGGGGGGGGGGGGGCGTGGCCTGAAAATCAAACCAGAAATAGAGTCAAGTGGTCTTTTGGTATCCATATTAGGTGGGTACCGTCGGAGATAGCTGATACCGTCAGAGATAGCTGATACAGTGATGAAGTTTTGCAGTATTTGTTTACGATACATATGAGGACAGAAATGGAAACGGCTGCAGCCGTAATTTACCTAGAAGACTCGTACAACAGAATCCTGTGCAACACGCTCATAGGATTGCTGTTGGACATACACACAGAGACACTGTGGGTCAGTTTAGTTTCAGTGGCGTTCTCTAAAAAAAAAAAAAAATTTATGCGATGTGGGCTTGGGCATTGAAACTTTACCTGTCCTAATGGGCCTGCCCCAAGGATCATTGTTGTCTCCTGTTCTCTTCAGTGAGTACACATCAGTAGTTACCAGTGCACAGGTAGTTGGTTTAGACAGAATAATGTCATTCGCAAAATATAACCTCTGTACCGACGAGGAAGGAAAAGAAATGAAATAACAAGGCTACAACCCGATTTATACAGGGAGCAAGAGCCTAAGTGAACCTGGCAGAGGTTTCCTTAACATGGTTCTCCCTGAATACCCACACTGTCAGTATACCAGCCGTGAGCATATGTGGCTTGGATATTTAGATAACGGATACAATGATATATCTTAGCACAAATTTCAACTGATGCTTATCATACAAGCATCACGTAAACAATATCGTATTTAGAGCCAGGGAAGGTCTGAAGGCCCTGAAGGCGTTGGCATAGGCCGACACTGAACAACACCTACTTTCCATTTTCTGTTAGGGCGGTGTGCTAAGTGCTATGGACTACTGTCTGGGCCTCCTCGCTGTCGGCAGAATCCAGCTAGAAAAACTGGACCAGGTACAAGAATGAGGGTATGAGACTCATACTCAGCTGCACAAAAGACGTTATGCGATGTGTCTTGGGTTTACCGACTATGGCTACCAGACATAAAATACAAAATTTTAGCAGACATCAACTCAGGTTAAACATAGCATGCAGTAAAAACAACATGAAGATCAATACAAACAAATCTTAAACAATGCAAGTTAGTAGAACCCCTGCCCCACTACACATACAGCTGAATGGTTCTGCCCTGAATCAAGATAGGGAGTTTCAATATCTAGAAAGATGATCACAGAATATGGTAGAACTGACAGAGAAATAGAAACCAGATGTCAGAAAGCAAGTGCGCTTATAAACCAATTGTCACCATTATTAAGACATCCAAGCATAACTATGAGTGCAAAGAGACAGATTATTATTAGCCAATTCATTCCAAGATTAAGCTCCCAGTACCAGACATGGACACTTTCTAAAGCCCACATACGCAAAATCACCACCTGTGAGATGAGATGCCTGAGAAAAGCAGCCAACCTAACCATACCATCCGAGATCGAGTGAATAATGAAACTATTAGGAAAATTTTGGGAACGACACCTTGTACTAGATTTAACGAGAAACAGCAGATCAAGTGGTTTGGCCATCTCGTTAGAATGCAGCAAGATGAAATACCATCACAAGCACTACATCTCAGAAGATCAGCTACAAGAGCAAGAGGACGGCCACGAAAAAATGGATCGACAACATTAAAGACACTACGCCTTCACGGCATGACAATAGTCAGTGGCAGCCACCGTGCACTGGATCGCAAATTATTCTTCCACACGACGCTTAACGGTAGAAGTGGTTTATGAAGGTGATGATCAACCACCATTGCATAACGTTATCACTGATATAAAAAGAATGCGTCTGGAATGAGACTCCTCCTGGGTGGCAGAGACAGGTGAGATCAGTCAGGGAAAAGAATGGACAGATACACCAGTAGACATAAATATCTTTAAACCTTCACCAGTAGATATGCATGACTTGCCTAAGGTTGTCACACCACTGCGGAGGTACTGCAGGAATAAGATACCTGGCACCTTCGACGCCGAGTTGAAGGCACTGACTGATCAGCATTCACATCCAGGATTCATTGGCGTTGACACAGATGGGTCCGTGAAGTACAAGTCAAGATCAACATGTGCATAGACAGCACACATGATCTAGGAAACAATAAAAGAGGTTAGTGGCGCATGGTAGAAAACTACTTCAGATACGACCATACATAGAACAGCTGCTCCCAGAGCAGCAAATGTGCGGTAATCGTTTCAGAATCTATGAACAGGCTGCAGTAAATCGCAACAAGTAGTTTTGAGCTCCGAATCCGTAAACAAGCATTTGAAAGTCGCAGTTGACCTCCGTCATCTGGATATACACACCTGGGAATGCAGGAGTATAAGACTGACCGGCTGGTAGGTGATGCACGATTGCAAACAAGAAGAAGCATGGACAGCGCAGCCATCATTACCGCTGTACGGACTAGGTTGGGGGATAATGTTGAATCTATGGCACCATTACTATCGGGACTCTTCATTGGCTTCTGAAGATGGGTAGGAGCGCTTATGGGATTGCCCTAGTGCTGTGATGTTGGTTCTTGAATCAAATCAACTCAAATCAAATATCTGATGCTAATATGATTGCGCGGCCTGGGAGTTGAGCCTAGTGAAGCCGTCTATGCCGGCTTCGACGTAAAGACAGGCAATACTACAACCAGCTTTTCATGGGAACAACTAGCAGAGATACCTTTGAGTAACTGCTGCATAGAAGGACTGAGCACCCTTTGGGACATAACTTGACTTTTAAAAAAACCGCATAGTTATCCAACAGTGCGTTTTTATTAGTTGTCATGAAGATCCGTAGGCCTGGAGAACTTTAGCAGGTCCAGATACAAAGGAACTATCAATGGATTGAACCCTAAGGTATTCTTATGTGCAGTTTGAACAATTTCAATCTTTAGATTATACAGATTTTGAATGTCACAATTATGAAAACAAAAATGTGTTTTATCTGTATCTTTGGGTGGTGTGGGTAATATATTTTTATGTTTAATCCACATATCATTATTATTGCTATTTATACTATTATTCGGCACTTAAACAAGACTTAAGAACATTAAGATTCGCAGGGAAATTATTAGGTTTTGTCATGACAAGAAAGGAGTGTTAACACATAAACTGATAATTGCAGTGGAGGTTCGCTGAATTAGTAGAGGCATGGTCGCCCATGCCAGTCGGTGATGATGATTGGGAAATAGGGGGTAAAAATTGTGCTAGCTGAATTTATTTCACAGTGCTGAAGAATGATGCTAGCTGATTTGACCGGAAGTTTGCAAGTCATTCTCAGTAGAACAGCGGCTGCGCTTTCAACAATCAGCAGAAGACGGTGTTTAAAACATTTATATATAACAATGGTAAGCATAATTGTAGTGTTTAATTTATTATATTCACTGAAGTGACAGTCTACAGTACACCATTCACTTAATCTTTAGCAGCATTTAACTTTTCTGGAGTGAACAATGTGTAGTCCGAGTTCCGATCTGATCATGATATCATCTCTCTCGGGCTACGAGAGTCCGCCGTAGGCTAGAGTTTGACGTCAGGCTTCATTAGGTACCAATTGTATACCATTGTTGTTTGAACTTGATTGCATTGTTTAAGACTCACTGTGACTAGTTGTTACCATTTTCTATCTCAGAACTCAGTATTTAAATCTTGACTAAATTATTCATGTATGTTTTGAAATATCAATAAAATAATAATAATGCATTATTATGATTATTATTATACTAGTGCTAAACTGAGTGCTTTAGTCAAATTTTCAAAATGCCCTCTACACCAATAAAACCAGCACAGTTAGATAGCTGTAAACAATCACTTTCCAACGGTACCTCATTTAGGCTTGTGTGTCATTTCTGAGCTGAGATATGTAGGTTTTTGTGGAGATGAGATGTAGAAAGCAGCTGCTAAAACTTGCGTCTTAGAAACAAACAAGGTTTTCTCTGCGCAACCAGACTGCGCACTTATCGTTTTGGCTTTGTTTAAATTGGACTGTCATTGGACAAGATGGCAGACAATGAGACACAGCCACTGGCTGAGCCAGCGATGGCCTGAAAAATGTCACTGTACATCTACCAAGCCACTGTTCAGAAAGAAATTTTATACACAAATGTAAAATTGGACGGAGAATTCAATTATAACTAGCATTACCAGGACCAGTAACTGTTAAAGCCTAAAGCCAACCCTGAATACTTATCGCTATTTTCAATCAAACTGATGTAACAGAAAAACAGAGGACGTCCGGCTGTCGCAGACATGCGCTGTTAATCGGGTTCCTTCCCACCGTTTTCAGCTTTTTATAGTGGGTGAAAATCACACCAATCGCAAAATTTCATGAGAGATTGGGACCCATCCCGAAACCCCATCCGACATTTGCGAAGCAAGTTTCGAACGGTTTCCAGGGTAACGGAAATTGCCAAAAGACCGCAAATTGCCGAACACCGTAGTCGCTAGAGTGAGTTAAATCAGACTACACTGACTAGTACTTATACTAACTAAACTAAAGTACACTAGCTTGCACTTTATTTGATTTTAAGAATAATGATTATTATAATCTGATGTAACATCCCCCCCCCCCACCCCCGGCCCATAAAAGGGCCCCAGAACCCACACAAGGATGACTTTTACAGCATGCATCTTAGTTTGCAGTTTTTTTTTTAAAACATTGCTTTAAAATTATACTTTGCTTAGTTTATAAGACCCAGGAATATACTTGTAAATTGCAGACCTGCATCCTAAAACATTGTCACAGTATATAGAATGATAAATGACACTGTAATATGATACATGATTAATCTTACCTAAATACAAGTCCTAGAAGAATAGGTGCCGATACTCACAACAAAGTGTCTAAAAATTGGTGCTGGTACTTGTCACAAAATATCTGTAACAGAAGCGCTGGAAAAAATATGTTATCAGAAAAAAGATCCTTGCATAAATAGCTATTAACTCATTTATTTGTAAGCAAATGTTTCTTCCCAGTCAGTGTATCATAGGTTCACATGAAGCTTGATACCTGAAAGGGGGCGGGGGATGCGTCTAGCGACAACACTATGCTGGCTCACACTCATATTACATCGGTGAACATAATTGTGTATTTTGTTTCATTATTCAGAGTATTCTAGCCTACAACGGTGCTGCCATCATGGCAATGAAGGGCAAAAACTGTGTTGCCATTGCTGCTGACAGGCGGTTTGGTGTGCAGGCACAGACCATTAGCACGGAGTTTGAGAAAATCTTTGAGATGGGACCACAACTGTTTGTGGGACTGCCCGGCCTGGCAACAGATGTTCAAACAGTGTATGTATTTCATTGTCTTTATTGTTTAAGTTACTGATTCCTTACTTACAAATTAGCATAATGTAGTTAGTAGAAAGTGTGAATATTGCATGTTTACATTATCGATTATTTGTTTTTCCCGTAGTTTGAATTGAATTTATTATTCAATTGTAGCCTTGTGTTTCATTCTTTCTTTGTTTCTTCCTTTTTGTGTGTGTAAAGTGATAAAGCATAAAATGCATGCATCAAAAATGTAAGTCAGACTGCTAGGCTTTTGTGTGTGTTTGTCTTTGGCCATATATGTTTTTATGTGTGTGGATAATACCCTTTTATACTGCCAGACATCCCATACAAAACTCATCAGTACCTGCACAAACTGTAATTTACCCCAGTCTGGTATAGCTTTGTACCCTAATTCTTTAGAGGTTTAATGGGCTGTCTGGGAAATAAAATTTGTCGGTCTGCCACCCAGGACGAGACTTGAAGTCTCAGGAGTGATGAAACATTCTGGTGGCACCCTGGAGAAGAAAAGTCAGTCATCTTATAAAACCATGAATGTGTGAAGACAAAATGTAGCCACTAGGCTCAGCTACAAAAATACATAGGTAGGTTAACATTTCAACCCAATTGTTTATCAGTGGATAAAATAACTGCCTTACAAGAATCATCATCATCATCATTTATCGGTCCTTTGTAGAACGTCGCTCTCATCGCAGTCTGCCTGAAAGAGACACAGTTTTTCACCAGCTCTTCCGCCATTCTGCTTTATATGACCAAAGTATTTTAGCTTTCGAGTCAAGATACTGTTTATTAGCCAGTCTTCCTTAACGTTCAGATCTTTTAAAATGTCAGTATTTTTTCTTCTTTGTCCATGGCATTATGAGAATCTTTCTTTAGTATTTCAACTCAGAAGCCCCTATTTTCTTTCTTAAGGACTGGGAATATCAGGAATACTTAAATATAAGGTTAGTTGCCTGTTCTTTACAGGACATTGCAGAACCAACCCCAACAGCGCCTGGCTGTTGTGTGGTTTTTCTAGGTAAATTTACGTCCAGTAGTTTGCCATTGCTTTCTGGACGGTCAGCTTTCTTGATACCACTGTCGAAACCAGCGCATGGCCCACTGTTGGGATAGAACCCGGCATTACAAAGCGTTCGCATCGACTTAGCCACAGGCTCGACCACTTAGATATAAACTTGACATAAAACAAGCACAGAGAGATTTCATGTGCTTATGAGACTGACATGTTAGCTGCTGTTGGTTTGCTGGTGATTTGAATATTCCATGAAGTTATTGTTGAAACTTTGTGTGCAGCTCTCATTTGTTCAATGCTATTCTGTTCAAAGTCCAAACCATGTGAGATTAACCCTGGTGCAGTGAAATTTATTCTCACGCCTTCAAAGTTTAAATTATTTTATTTAAATGTTAAATAACTAATTTTCTTTTAAAGCATCTTTTTTTTGGGTAGCCTGTCTAGTATCTGTGAAAAAAGTATGATATATCTGCCCATAATTATCTTGTGTCTGTGTAATTTGCAGATTCCAGAGGTTAAAGTTCAGGTTGAACATATATGAACTGAGAGAAAATAGACGAATCAAACCCAAGACGTTCATGAGCATGGTCTCAAATTTGCTGTATGAAAGACGGTGAGAAATGATTATTTTCATAAAATTTTAACAAAGTGGCGTTGAGCTAAGAATTGTAATCACAGCACTGGAGACATTTTCACAAGATCTTCTTCCTTATCTTCAGTGAAGAGTTCCAATTCCAGTGGTGCCAGTAGCAGTTTGATTTTGTGTGAGTTTTGCCTTTCCTCTGAGTGTAGTGTTAACCAGATTCTCTGGTCACTCCTAGCTGTGTGTCATTTTCTTGAGGCCATAATGATCTGTCTACTCCTGCCTCTGCATTGTTCACTTGTTGCCAATGGGCCTTTACCACATCCAGCTTGTCATGCATGAGTGCATCATCCATTAATGCAGAACCAGCCAGTCTGCTTGCCTGTTCCTGACACTGCTTCATGCCCTGAAGTAAATTGGCGGAGTAATCATGGACCATTTTACGGTCAGAAAAAAAACAACACTGGCTACTGCCTATATTAGCTGTTTTTTATATGGGCTACCCCATCCTGTTGCGTCTTGTGGTTCACCTGCATGAGAGGCAGCATTGTAATTGCTTGACCAGCTCCTAACTAAGGAAGAATATCGAGGCTTGTGGGTATAAATGTTACAGAACAGTTCTTAGAATTCTCTGGATCAAGACAAATACTACAGTTAACAGTGAATTGTCATGTACATATTGGCACTCGTAAATGTAAATGGAAAGAATTAGACAGACACACAATACTGACATAAAAATGGTGAGATATTATCAGATTAATCTCCCTTTTCTTTTTTCTTTTCTTTTTTTAATTAAATTTTTAAAAAATATTTTCTTTTAGTCCTGTCACTACCTGCGACTGTTCTGGTTCTCATCCACTTCTGGACACGATCTTCTTCCAGAACTTGAGCTTTGCATGCACTTTATGTTTACAATGTCTGTTTATTTGTGTGCAGACCATGGTTCCTTGCTTCTGAGGTAGATGCACTTAAACTTTAAAGAGAATATTATGTATCACAATCAATATCTTTGCACATTTTCTATCTCCTTGCATGCTGAGTTATCTGATGCAGCAGCCCCTTCCTAGTCACCTCTACTGATTGTTCTCATGAGGAGTTAGTTATAGTATCTCCTATCTCTACTTGAAAGACAGTATAGACCTGCTTCACCAAGCTTAACTCCTCGGTCACACAGTATTGTTACGTCAGAGATTCACCGTTATTCCCCAACCTAGTCTGTACAGCGTTGATGACATCAGCTCTGCCCATGCTTCTTCCCCTTTGTATTGGTGCATTGCTAGCCAGCTGGTCAGCTCTTTCATTACTATTTACTCCTGCCTGACCAGGTGTGTAGATCCAGATGATGGTGGTTACCTGTGACTTTTAAATGCTTTCTACCCATTTAGAGCGTAGACTACATGTAGCGATTTTCTGAAGCATCTTCATATAGTCTGAAATAATTACTACATAAATGGCCGCTTGTTCTGCACCCATGCAAGTGCTCTGGAAGCAGCAGTTATCTCCTTGGTCATGCTTGACGTATTTGTCTTGTAAGCACCGCCGACTTCTTTTATTGTTTTCTCCATCCTTTGTGCTGTGTATACTCATGCTGATCTTTACCAGTGCTTCACAGACTTATCTGTGTAAACGATGATGATTCCTGGATGTGTGGCTAATCAGTCAGTACTCTAATCTCGACATCGAAGGTGGCATGTATCTGACTCCTGCAGTACCTCCCTAGTGTTGTGACAACCTTCAACAAGTCATGCATGTCTACTGGTGTATCCGTCCATTCTTTCCGTGACTGATCTCATCTAATCACATACTTGCTATATTACATTTTCTGCATTGGCCATCCAGGAGGAGCCTCTTTTGGGATGCATTAACAGCTAAAAAATGCTTGTATTGGTTCTGCAATGTCCTGTAAAGGATATGTAACAAACTTTTTTTCCGGCTACGATTTTCTCCATCAGTTTTCCTATGGTGTTGTGAAGTCTGGTGATTCTATAGCCTTTTACTATTTTATGATCTTTCCCAGGCTTAAGGACGGGTCTGAGGTAGCTGTGGAATCAGTCATCGGGACGGTACTGTTCTTACTGCTCTTGTTAAATGTCCTAGATAGTTCCTTTGTGTCTGTTTCATCAAGGCACTGTATCTTAGGCCATTTGCTCTTGTGCTGTGTCAGGATAGATCTTCAGTATAGCTCAGATATTTGCAACAGAGATGTACATTGTGTTGTCTTCTTCATCCATTTCAGCAGAGTCCATTTAATAGACTGTTTGTTTTCTTTCATCTCTGTCTTTTCGATGTGAGGGAGAGATCTGGAGGGCCTCACTAGTGTCTTCATCAGATTTTAAGATCATCCCACTGTCCCTCTTTTGGCAAATTACAGGATTGTTGGCCACCGTTCATACTGCGGTGGAGTCACCATAATTTTGTGAGATTTTTCGTACCCTGTTTCATTACACTATGTCTCCCATGTGGTGTGGTGTGCTTAGCCTCCATTAGAGGTTTTTTTTTTTTTACATTTCAATGAGGTTATCATTTCTTTCTATCATGGCTCGCTTGTGTGCATCAGACAGTCTCAAAGACTTTCCACATTTCTCCCATTCTTTGGTCGCACTTTGTTTCTTGGTCCATACCTTGGCGACTTCAGGTGTCCACCATGGGGGTTGTTGCACATCTTTCTTCCTTCTCTGTGTTTTGCGTACCCTGTCTCGTAGACCCCCAATTACCTCAGTCTGGTGTACCCCATACTTAAAAATGGCATTTTGTTTCTAGCAACTTATAGTGTTGTTTTCTTGACCAGAATCGAGCATGGAAGGTAGTAGTTTGCATTATATCCCAGTACACCCCACTGGCAGCGTGCACTCATGCTGGGGAAGATCAGAGCGAGATCGAGGGCTGAAGAAAGTATGTCTAATAATTGCCTTTTACAAGCTGCTTGAGGGTGAAGTTCCCCTCCTCCCCCTCCTCCCCCAACCATTTTTTAATCAATCCTGATCGGGTATGGGGTGAAGGTTGGAGGGGAGGGGGTGTCACAGTGCTTAAAGGTAAAAAAAAAATATGTTTTACTTTATTAATGAAATAAACAAATCTTTTGCACATGCAGATCAACACATGTGCTGATCATGCCTATTTAAGTGTTGTATCTGTTTTAGGTTTGGTCCATACTTTGTGGAGCCTGTCATCGCAGGATTAGACCCCGTGACATCTGAGCCTTATGTTGCCTCCATGGATTTGATTGGCTGCCCCATGGAGACTAATGATTTTGTTGTCAGTGGAACTTGCTCGGAGCAGATGTACGGCATGTGTGAATCTCTGTGGGAACCCAATCTTGTAAGTGCTGTGTTGCTTTTCACAGAACTGTTCTTGAATTTGATATCACATGTCTGGTTTTCAACAAAGGTTACTATCATTTCACATTTATGTCTTTATATGGTCTCTAGTGATGTTCTCAACACTGTGTACAAACAACTGAGCACTAGCAAGGGTGGCAATTTTTGTGAATAAAGCTAGTGGCTTTTTTTCTATTTACTTTCAACTTTCTCTTTTCCGCGCTCTGTCCCTAGTGTTTTTCGTTGGCACAGGAGCGGAGCAAAGATGGGGTGACCCGTTTGCTATGAAGCTGAAACTAAGACTACCAGACTATCCCTAGTGGAGCTAAAGCCCTCGACCAACTGGTACCCAGTAATCCAATCTTCTGCTATCACATGTAACACCCCATGACCCAGTTCCCCCCTACCCCTTTGTTTCCTTTTTTTCCATCCTTCAAATTTCAATCTCTAGTTCTCTTCTTCAAATATTTCTTTATCTGCCCTTATTCCTTTGACCATTTAGATTTCACTGCAGTGACATTTAAATTGTTTTCAGGTTTTCTCCTGGTATGTCCTGTCCAACACCAGCCTCTTTTCCTCATCTCTTGATTCACAAAGATTTATTTATCTCCCAGAACTGTATTAATGATTCTTTTATACCATTTAATTCCCCCTATTATGCACCGGCACTAGTTAGTGAAAGTAGTTAATTGCTGTGTCCGTTGGCCTCTGTGTTTCAGCTCCCTACAACAGAACTGATTTGTCATTACAGCTAAACATTTTAAGTTTAGCTAAACATTTTAAGTTTCAATTTCCTTTGACTTCTACGCATTTCTTATCTTTTGTACTTGTTTTTATGTCCATCGATTCCCCAATCTTTATTTGTATTTTTTGCCTAAAATGGTGTATGATCTGCATCTTGGGATGTGGTCTTACCAAGACAGCAGATTATTATTTGCCTGGTTTATTCTTATTATCTTTGATTTTCCTAGATTGATTTATAGACCTAATTGTTGTGATCTTCCATCTAGTATGTTTACTTTGCATCTAATTGAATGAGTTGAATATAAGAAAAATGTCATTAGTGAAGTCCAGATCATAACACTCTTTTGTTATAAGTTATAATCTGCTGAATTCCATTTCTGGTTGTAATATGCAGTCCAGTCTGTTGCCAGTAAAAATAGGGGGGGGGGGGGGGGGTAAATATGCAAATCTTCACTGTTCACCTGCGTCCAGAAAAATCTGAGGCTCCGAGGTCTTACTCTGATAAGGTTTAATTTATTAGAACAGTTAATTTTGTCAAGAGACACAGTACAGACCAAAATGATATTTGCAGGCAACACTATATGTCATCCAGAAAGTACAATCAGTGATTTAAAAAATTTTTTAAAATAAGTCACAAAACTTGTAAAGTGCAGACTGTTTATGGCAATTTTGGATATTTCTTTTTTCCACTGTAAGTTCTCAGATCTGCATTGTAATACTAAAGCTCTTTAATCAATAACAATATTCAGATCTTAAAAGAATGCTGCCTGTAGGAGTTTTGTTGTAAATGACCACAAGCTAATGGCACCTGAACGAGGAAACGTAATGATGCATATTTCAAATGGGAACAAAAAGTTTCTCGGTCCACACATGGGTAATAGTATAAGTGTAATAAATCAGTCATCATCATCATTATCTGCTAGTGCCATTATGCGTCACATAGGGCTCTCAGTCTGTTGCTTCATTCCATTCTGTCCTTGCAGTGTTTTCCTTTTGCTGAATGGAATCCAGTTCAGCATATTTGGTCTCTTTTATCAATGTCAGTTCTAAAATTCATAACTTTTCTCAGGCATTTGTTTTTGTATGCATTTAAATGAGAGGTTGTCCAACCTTCATTGGCATGTTAAAATTAAATGTCCAGTGAATATATAATTAGACAGTTATGTCTTTTGAACTCACAGGGCAAAGCTGCAGTATTTTCTAAAGGTAGGAGGGGCTAACCTGGGTAACCAAGGGCCTGTGTTGCATCAAGGGATACAAGGCAGAAGGAGAAGAATGGCTGTTCTAGTTTAATGAACAATTATTCCTGTTTGCTGCAGTGGATAATAATACATGTTGTTTAACCTTTCAGGAACCTGATGATCTGTTTGAGACCATCTCTCAGGCCTTGATGAATGCTTTTGACCGTGATGCTGTGTCTGGTTGGGGAGCTGTTGTTTATATTATGTAAGTCTATTCTCTTTTAATGAAAGTAAAACGTGTGTGTGATTGTTTGCTGATATGCACATTCTATGTTCATATCCATGGATCATTAAATTACTTCTTTCTCATATAAATAAGAGTTAAAATTCCTATGGTACCAGTAATTATTTGATTGTATATCCATCTCACCTTTCCCCTGAGTGTCGAGCGTCGGCCAGATCCCCTGGTAACTCCTTGCAGTGCCATTCTCCTCAGAACATAATGATCTATCTGTGCCTTGGCACTGTTCACTTGCTCCCAAAGGGCCCTTTCACTTGTTATACATCAGTTCACCACCAAGTGGTGCAGAATCAGTCAGTCTTTCTGCCTGCTCATTTCTAAACACACAGGCATCACTTGGAAAAAATATCCAAAGGGCGCTAACTACCTGGGACCTTTGAAGAAATGCTTGCCACCTCGCACGGAGCATGCCTGTCTCCACCTTTCTCAACATGCTGTGTGAGTCAGTTACAATGACAGCATGTGTGAACAGCTATTTCTCAAGCCAGCAGAAGGCACCAGTGACTGCATCCACCTTCATTCTCAAACTAGATGTGATATTGTATGCCAGGCTTTGTTGCACCAAGACTTTCCTCTTTTCAGTCTGTGACCCTTAGCTTTATCCAGGGCTTCATGCAAGATTTGTCTCATGTCCGCAGATACTCGGAGATATGACTTTGCTTGCAGAACTTTAAACCTATCTGCTGTAGTAGGCAGTGCAAGTATATATTGCATACATGCTCTTGTTGAAGTAGAAAGCCATCTCCCTCAAGTCATCCCTCATGCTCTTTATGTGGGCCTGCCAGACTCTGCCTGGCCCCGACACAGTGTCCTTTACTTTTTTCAATATATGTTTTATATCCTCCACTCTAATGATATCCTTAAAATAATTATCATTAATTGTATTATACAGATTATCTTTAACTGAATTTCTAAGCTGCCTTTCATTTTGATCCATTTGGGCTTTAAATATCTCTAAAAGTCCTTCTCTTTCTCTTTGTTGTTATTGGTCATACAAATTCTGATGATTCTGTCCTACCAATTTTATTTTTGAGTTCTGCTTAGGCATCATTTAATGAACATTTGCATTAATATTTTGATCAGGGATTGTTCTGCCACATGATGATGTTTATGTGTTGTATTCAATATCTGAATGGTTGCCATAATGTCAATTCTCAACAACTTAGCATCACTTTACCTCCACAAAATTGCATCATGATTATTGTGCACTAAAATTCACAAGGATCAGGGATCCAGGGCTGTAGATGTCTGAACTCTTGCGCAGTGGAGCACACCAGCTGTTCTGTCTTGAGAGCTAGGTCTAGTCCTATGAGTGCTTGTACGTATAGCATGAAAGCGGCACACTTAGGTTGTGCGTGACCGAAGAGGCACAAAACACAACGGATCTAGAGGAGACAACCTCGATAAAAAAAACCTAAAGCCTACCGTGGACCTACGTGTCTATGGGCTTAATGAATGTCGGTTATACAGTCGTAAACGTGGAGCGTCTGGTTAGTGGGTGGGCCGGCGCCAGGCGTACAGACTCCGTTAAGACAACCCCTGCCTCTTTCCTTCCAAGCAGGCAATACTACAGTGACTGTTTACTTCCTGCAATGAAAGCGTATTTTCAATGGATTTTGTATTAAATGATAAAAAGGATCATCGCTGGAACTACGGAGTGTGTGCTGTATGCTCAATACCATCTTCAGGTAAATATTTACTTAAGGAAAGCTTAAAGAAATGCTACACATAGGACTGGTACTGAATTTTTTAATATTCATGTCACTTAAAACCTAAATAGAGGTAACTTCAGGCCAAAATATTCCTGGTCATAATTGCCTGTTACTTGCATAATGAAACCGGTTTTGTTTGTTATTTTTTGTGATCAATTGCATGCTGAAGTTGTTAACTTGCCATTTATTTGTGTTTCATGTTCTGTTTGCAGAGAAAAGGACAAAGTTACCAAGAGATTCCTGAAGACACGCCAGGATTAATTTATGTATTACTCTGTTCTCACTTCTCGGTCAACAGCCCATTAAATTGTTTTTTTTTTAATTGTCATATCTGTTATCAGTTGTATGATTACGCATCCAATGACATTGTGTGACAAGTTTACTCACTTGCAGTAAAATGGACATACTGTGCTGATTTGTTTGTTGCTTTATTGAAATATTAAAGTTAGCTGATGTGTTGCTGTTTGGTTATATTTGACCTGTAGCTGCATAGGTAGAAAATTCTTCAGACAAAAAAGGAAATCCTGAACTGATAGTGAATACTTGAAAGTGGGTGAACTAAGGCATTGCCACACTGTTATATTTATCTGAAGACGGGAGATGGGGAAACAGCTTGACAACAAACTATCTTTTGTGACACTTTCCTGGATGTATGAGAGAGAACAAAAACTGTATACAAAAGAGTAAAAAGAGAGTAGACCGTGAGGCAAACCAAAAGCTGATGGAGAGTAATATACAAGCAGACCTATAAATATTTTGAGTTGTCAGCTTGAAAGAAAAGGTCAGTCGCAGAGATGAATGGAGACAGGAGTTATCTGCTGCAGAAAGAGATTCCAGAGAGGAGAAGATGGTCATGGTATCAGAGAAATGTTCTCCATGTATACATTGTTCTTATCTCTTGTGCTTGTTCTTCATAGCAGAACTGTAACTGCTGAATTTAATTTCAACAGTAAGCGCAGAATCTTGTATTCCTGTATGTGTTGTGCTTCTTCTTTCTACATTTGTGAAATGTGCATTGTCATATGAGATGGACTGGTTGTTGTCTGAAGTGTTTAGTGGTGAGTCAAGGGACCAATAAATGTTTTCTATCTCTATGTACAATAGATAGAACTAGTTTAAGTTGACAGTATTTAGGGATTGATCAAGTTTGCTGCCTTCAATGAAGGGACGTTTTTATGAAAAAACATAACTCATTTTTCGTCTTTGCCAGCTGTAAACTCCAGTGGAAGGTTCCGGTGATTCATTCACGTCTGGAATTAAGTGTTTGTTTCCGAATCTGAGTGATGCGTCTATTTTACAGGTCCTACTTATTTGTATGCAGACCATTGGTTCCTTGCCTCTCAGGCAGGAGCACTCCAACTTCAACAACAAAGTTACTAATTAGACGACATGCTTGTTGAGGAGACTGGGTCTATTCTTGTTTTTCCGAAACCCACACAGGGAACAAGAACACCATTGTAAGGACATAGAGAGCACACTGGCACATTACTGCAGCACATACTAACATCAGTAAGTTTATTACTGCAGCACATACTAAAATCAGTAAGTTTATAAATTGCCAGAGAAATTGATCCAAGCCTGTTGTTTAATATGTAACAATATCAAGTGAACCCTGTTTCCACTGATGGGCAAAAATAGATAAGCTTGCGTGTACTTTTTCCCCCAGCTGTGTTTGTTGTTCTCTATGAATGTTCTATTGTGTTTCCCTTGTGCTGGTGAAATATCCGTGTTTATGGACTGGAATAGAAATAGAAACATGACTCATTTATCGTTATATTTGGTCTTGTTATTTTGGTTGGTGACATCTGGACATGATATTCATCAGCAGCGCATTCCGGTGTCGGGCTCACATTTTGTGTTGTTTTAAAGCTGTTGCCCAGAACCTTAATATAACCCAGTTTGTGGATTGGACTGGGTATCTGGGGCATTTTTCTGGGTATTCCTCATCCGAATGGCATGATGTCCTCCAAGGGTTGAACGTTAGTCAGCTAGACATTATTCATTCCTCCAAGGGTTGAACGTAGGTCAGCTGGGCATTATTCGTTTCTCCAAGGGTTAAACGTCAGTCAGCTGGGCATTATTCGTTTCTCCAAGGGTTGAACGTCAGTCAGCTGGGCATTATTCGTTTCTCCAAGGGTTGAACGTCAGTCAGCTGGACATTATTCGTTTCTCCAGGGGTTGAACGTCAGTCAGCTGGGCATTATTCGTTCCTCCAAGGGTTGAACGTCAGTCAGCTTGACATTATTCATTCCTCCAAGGGTTGAACGTCAGTCAGCTGGACATTATTCGTCCCTCCAAGGGTTGAACGTCAGTCAGCTGGGCATTATTCGTTTCTCCAAGGGTTGAACGTCAGTCAGCTGGGCATTATTCGTTCCTCCAAGGGTTGAACGTCAGTCAGCTGGGCATTATTCGTTCCTCCAAGGGTTGAACGTCAGTCAGCTGGACATTATTCATTCCTCCAAGGGTTGAACGTCAGTCAGCTGGACATTATTCGTTTCTCCAGGAGTTGAACGTCAGTCAGCTTGACATTATTCGTTTCTCCAGGAGTTGAACGTCAGTCAGCTGGACATTAATAGTTTTCTGTGATATTTCTACAAGTAACGTTCAGCTGTGTTCTCTTCTCAGAGACTAGATTTTTTTAAAACAATGTGAATGTTTTCTGCCGGTAGGAAAAAAAAACCCAGCACTTGGTGGGTAATGTGGTCAGCATTACGCAAGCCTTGTTTACATCCCAGAACTTTACCTGTTATCCATTAAAGGCTATGTCAACCTGGGCGCCAATGTCATTTTTTTTAAATACCACACCATTTAGATTTGAACTAACTATCTTCTGATCAACACACAGTCTTCTAGCCTCTACACCATGGTGGCTTCCCCTTTATTTTATGGCTAGCAAGTGATAGATGGATAAAGTTTGTTCAGGTAGATAACATCACTATGGAAGAAATAAAATCTGTTGGTGGGTTGGGTATAGAAGTGGTAACGAGATTGCTATGAAAAGATAGCAAACCAAAGAAAGCTGAAGCTCTGAGACCTGTGAAAACAGGAAATCGTAATGTGAAAATTGTAGAATATTTGTTGTTCGTCCATCATGAGTGATGAAAACCACTTTTCATCCTAAGTAGTAGTGATCAATGATTATGAGTGCGAAGGTGGTTGATCAGCCCAATATGAGGGCGGAAAGTTTTTGAGCAGTGCGGAAACAGGTGGAAGCCGCATTAAGTGTGGGATTAGCGATACAGTTCTTTATAGTGTGCCTGTTTCACTGCCTGCGCAACCTCAGCTGCCTTGCAGGCTGATGTACCATGCTGGAATGATGTGCGCCATTCAGAAGGGTCCTGTGTAGCAGCCTCCTATGTTGATGCCAAAAGAGACGAGAGCCGTTTTGAGACGACTGCCTGTAGCGCTTTTTCTGTCCACCCTTTGACATCTTCCATTGCTGGAGCTCGCCAGAAAAACTCTTCGGAAGGCGATAGGCTGGCATGCAGGCGAGGTGACCAGCCCAGCACAGCTGATAATCATTCAGTATCGTGTGGATGCTGGACATATTTGTCCTATCAAGAGCCACAGTGTTTGGGATCCTATCTTGCTATTTGATTTTGAGCAGCTATCTGAGACAAGTTAAATGAAACTGATTCAACTTGGCGCTGATACACAACAATCCACGTTTCGCAAGCGTAGAGCAGTACTGGATGAATTACAGCTTTGTAAACCTTTAGCTTGGTCAGCAGGGAGATATCACTTCCATTGCAGACACTGGTATGGTATAGAGTCTGCCGAAACTACTGCTGGCCTTAGAGATTCTAGCGTTGATCTCGTTGTCGATGTTGACTCCCTGAGATAGGATACTGCCAAATAAGTGAATCTGTCGACCACATTTAGCTTTTAGTCATTTACGATAATATTGTCTAGCTTTAGCTTTTAATTATTTACGCTCATAGCGGGATCACAGTAATTTTGATGTCTTGATCTGATGATAGATAAACAGTTTTTATCTGGTGTTGATAGTTAGCCCGAAGTTGGTACAGGCATTGACCCAGAAAGTACATAAGGCTGGAATATTGGCGAGAGGCTTGCAGACGTTTCCCGAAGAAAGCGAAGTGGTCAAGCTGCTTACTTGAAGGTCGTGGGTTCGTTTCACGGCAGCGTCGTTGAGTTCATTAGTGCAATTTTTGACGGAGATCGTCGCCAGAGCTACAGAGTTCGCTCTGTGCGATACTTTCGACAGGCGGCTTGTCGTTATGTTAAGAGAGGCCGAGCCGTATGCGATAAAACAGGTGCAATGAAGTCGATCATCTCGACTTTTACGTTCTGTAAAGAACCTGCTATTTAATGACGATATTCTAAACAAATCTATTTACTTCTATTGTTTTCATTGATATTGAAACGTACTTTTAAACATCACACTGCGAAAGTGTGATTTTGTAGACAAACTACAAGAACACAGTGGAAAGATGAAAAGAATAATTAATGTCTTGAGACAAACTGATTCAGGAGAGGACTTTCTGCCCACATCAGAAAGAAACAATGCACATTCTTTGGTCATGTCATGAGAAAACGAGTTAGCGTGAGCGTGGGAAAGTTGCAGGGGAAAACGGGCAGTGGCCGACCGATAGAGAAGATGCAGGACAGTTTGACATCATGGCATGGGGGATTATTTGTGTCAGAACTGACTGAAATTACACGGGACAGAAGGTTGCAGATAGATACAGATATCAACGCCACACAGTATGGACTATAGAACCAAAAAAAAAAAAAAACTTTCTATCACAGTTAATATTGTATCACACAATAACACATATTTGTACCATTTTAACTCCTACATCATCATCAGTTCTCGTTATGCCTAGTGGCACATAAGGCTTCAGAGAGGACTTTCCATGCTTTCCTGTCCTGTGCAATCTTCAGTGAAGTTTTCCATGTCAAAGATGCCGCACTCCAGTCACTTTCCATTGTTCGTCTCCATGTTGTTTTTGGCCGCCCCTGTTTTCTCTTTTCCTATGGTGTCCATGTGAGAGCTGTTTTGGCAGGTATATCAGGATTCATTCTCATAACGTGGCCAAGCCATTTCCATCTTCTCTTGGTTATCATACTGTCTAAAGTTTCTTGGTTTGTGGCTTCAAGTAGTTTAGTGTTTGAGATTGTATCTGGCCAGAAAATTTGTATAATTCTACGCAGACATGTGTGGTGGAAGGTGGACAGCTTGTGTGCATCCTTTTTGGTCATTCTCCAGCATTCCGCTCCATAAAGAAGCACTGGCA